CCAACGTGAGAGTCAACAGCTGACTGACACGAATGTTAACTAGCATACAAAAAAATCGATAGCTGCATTCGTCACAAGTGGGAAAAATTTAAATCTGCATGGCTCTTTACTCCAATTGGCTCATTCGCTTGCTTAAACTCAACGTTGATTCTGATTCCGCAGAAGTGGGTTGGGTGTGAAAATGTATTCGTTGTTAACATTCTTTTTTCATTCGGTTTTTCCAGTTACCATTCCTTTTTTAAAGCTGATGGTTTTGTGTTCATTTTGTTTAGTTCTTTTTTCGTACAGATTTAATATTTAGTATAGAGTTTAGAAAAAATTCGCAGTGTGAGATAGACAAGAAGTAAGGCAAGTAGCAACATCAGCACGGAAAAGGGCACTCCTTTAAAGGCAAGGAAGGGCAAAAATATTTTAAGTGAAGTGATAGCGATTGCTGTATGATTTTTGAATCAAGCACGGGCAAGGCCGGGCCATGCTGCTAGTAAAAAATATACGAAACCAACAAATGTTATATTTTATATATGCCACCAATAAAAATAATAGTTATTTTTATTCAAACCGTCCATTTTCCGCCATATTTAGAAGATGTTTTGAAACAAAATCATAGGGCACAAATGAAGGACCATAAATGATAGAGTAATGGAAATTACATTTATTGAAATGTAAAATTATCATATTTTAGAATCTGCAACCATTTAGTCTCAAACATGAGCCAAAAATGTCATCAGGAGCGCTAGAGTACATGCTCTAGATATCCACCGTTCAGTTAAAGGCACGATTGAATGCAAAGTTGGTGATAACGCATGTGATCGATTGAATTTTCTCAGTGATGGCTACCTTCAGTGCAGCAATGGCGCGTTGTTTGTCATGGTGTATGATGTACTTGAGGTACCATCAGAGGAAGAAATCTGGGGGTTTCAGGTCAGGCGACTGAGATACCCATTCCGCTTGAGCATGCTGCTGATGAGACGCTCCCCAAACCTTTCACGGGATCATGCCATGGTAACATTAGCATTATGTGCAGGAGTACTATCCTGCTGGAACCACTGTTGCTCCTCAACAACGTACTCACATTCCTCGAATTTTCCACATCTGAGAGGCCGCTGCTTTCTTTCAACAATTGTAAAATACTCTGTATTATTAATCATTAGAGAAGAATTTGTATCAAACATTCAATTAGGAAGGACATCACCACGTATTCTGTTATTTATTGCAAATGAACATCAAATAAGAATTTTTTAAGATAAAATGGCTACTTACATGAAGAATGAAAATAAAACTAAAACAAAATACGAAGTCTTAGAATTGTGTTTATTATCGGGAAATCCTTGACAAACTTGGATCTTTGTGTCCGCAAAAAGGATTTTTTTCCATTGATACAGCTATTATTTTAACTATCTTCACCCCTCCGCAATGTTTATTACTTAGCGTTGATTAGAATTGTAATAAAAACTAAACATATGGTAAAAATGAATTTATACATTTTCTCTGTTCTTGAGAATTGACAACAAATATAAGAAACACTATTTATTTATTAGATTGTTTATTGGAATGGTTGGTAAAACATTGGCTAATTGATTCGAACATTCAGTCAGTTATGTGCCTGTTGTGGATTCCGTGAATGGAATCCTGCGCAAATAAATAAACAACGCCACTAATTGAGATAGAAAAATAAGTGTATTAAAGGTAAGAATACAGACTTGAAGTGAAGAGTAGTTGTCCAGGAATGAGGGTTAGTAGAAAGTATATGTATAAGTCTCTGTAAGTGAAGCCGTAAATCTCTCCCTCTCCCTCTCTCTCTCTCTCTCTCTCTCTCTCTCTGGACTCTTGTATAACTCTCTGAGAACACCCTGTGTCTCCGTATCTCTCAACATGTCTCAACGTATCTCAACAGCAGGTATTCTCTCTGTCAGTATAAGTATACTTTGGACGAGTCCATCTTATGCAAAAAGGGGAGAGCCCCACAACAGTGCCATGCGTGATAAACGCTTAGGCGATCATGCATCTTTCGATACATGACTGACGAGGCAGATTTTTCCCCATATTAGTTTGCCAGTTATCATCCGGTCTGTCCTGTTATTTACCCATAGCTGGGAAGGCGAAAAGAAGAGGATTCACACCTTCCCCAACGGTATTAGCACGTAAGTGAATGCAACTGATTTGATTGGAATTCGAAAACGAAAGAGAAATATTAAAAGATTTCCTTATAGTTGATTCACATATTTTAATAATTTACTAAATGTTTATAAATTTATGAATGAAACATTGTTTTCATATTTATTTTTTATAAGTTGGTAAATGATAAATATTGCATTGCATTAGTTTTAATTGTATTAGGTTTTAGAATGTTGTAAATATAAAATAATTGTCATCTAAAAAAATATAGACAGATATTGAAGAATCGGCACGGACCCGATATACCAAAAATATGGAGACAATTAGAAAAATTCCACCAGAAGTTGGCACGAATATCAAACTATTTACCATTCCTATTCCTACACAGATAGAGAGACTTACGACTCATCCCTTCTTGCTTGGCACCAAGACTTTCCGACAATTCAAGAATAGCTGTCTGGTGTCAGAAGAAGCTGAACACGCCCTTGTCCGAGAAAGAATCTAGTAAAACAGTTGGATAAAACAAAAACAAACAAAAAAAAAAACTGCAATGTGATATCCTCTAGAGGCTTGAGGTCTTCTTCAACAGATTTATCGATGAATAAGACCGAACGAGCATCCAGTATGACCTGCATAAAACCTTCAGACACGAATTCGATGCACACAAGGCCCACCAAGTACAAAAATTAAAGCAAGAAGTATCAGTGGATACACAAGGTTGATTACCCCCAGTGAAGGCCTGGTAATTATTTTGATGAGCTTTTCCCTTTGGTACCTAGACTCTATGAATTTAAGCGAGGTACTTGATTGACGACAAGACCTCATCATTTTACAGTTGATATGTCTAGATGTAACTGCAAGTTCTATGTTAATATTTTCTTCTATTGCACTTCTCGCTTGTGGAACTCACTTTCGGTCTGTTGCTTCCCAGTCAACGTTGATCTTCAAAAAATTTAAATGCAATGTCAATCGTTATCTTCTGTCTTCTTAATTCTTGTTCTTTTGTTCTTGCCCCTTAATAATTTCTTTTCCTAATATTCTTTCACATCCAGTAACCGCTTGCGTCTTAGTGACTTTATTGTCTTTCTTAGGGGTGAAATAATTAAAAATAACGAATATACACCTTAATGATTAGGCCACAAATCCAACGAGCTGGTTTTCTTCAAATTAATTTATACAACTTTATTTTTCTTTACCCGATTTTCTCTACGCCATATTTTGTTTACGTCTTTTATTATTATTAGGAGTAGTATTAATAGCATCGAATATAATTTACCCCAAAAGCTACGCTGAGAGATTTTCTTTATTAAAATTGTGACTAGTTTTTCTTTCATCCTGTTTTTCTTATTGTTTATCGCAACACTCAAGTCGTTTTCTACATTCGTCGATCATTAATCAAATAAGTAATATAGATTTAGAGTAAATATATATATGTTATAGCAATGACAATGTTTCATTTAAGAAGTTCCAAGAAAGAATAACGCGTCAATCAATAGAAAAAGTACTGATCAATAATGCAACAAAAAATAAATGCAGAAAAGTTTGAAGGTCCTAAAATGGCAGATATTTTAGGTCAATTTTACTTTAATAATCATTGAACCCTTGAAAAATCTCCCCACATACTTATTGGGAAGAATGGATCAAAAACAGCGATTCTCAAAGTGGACAGTACCGCCCCAGTTTCTGGGAGCGGTGACGAAATAAAGGGTGGTAAAAATGAAAATCCCCGACGTTTGTTTGTACTATGTTGACGTTATCTGGGCAGCACGATCAGAGTTTCAACATCTGCAGGGGACTATAGCCTAGGTTTGTAGAGATATAGTCACTGAAATTCTTCCGGTGATATCTTATCTAATGGGATCGAATAAAAACCAAAGTACATATATGTATTTAAAGTGTTAGATCAATTGAAGTTCTGGATTTGCTTTATATCTAATATCAAGAAAGAATTTCGAATCGAAACCTTTATTTCGTCTATCGGGGTAGATAGGTCTAGTTACATGTGTCATGCCTTTTCCGGATATCTCAGTATAAGTTATCTCCCTTTTAACTAAACTCTCCAAATTTTTGTTCACCTCTGTCGTCGTCAGCTGTTTGGTTCAAGTCACTAGATTCAACCAACGTTTTTATCCAATGTAAGTAGTGTAAATAATTAATTTATCTCAGAAATAAAGACAAATCCTGAACAAGGCTGGAGCGTACAATGGTCGAAACGGCGTGAATATGACAACAAAGATGAGGAAAACGGTCCGAACGATGTAAATAATTACAATAGCTCACCTCATAAATATAGACAGATCCTGAAGAAGGCCGAAGCGTGCAACGATCGAAACGTCGTGAATATGGCAACGAAAATGAGTACAACTGTTCGAACGATGTTAATAGGGTAAATAATTACAATACCTCGTCTCAGAAATATAGACAAATGAAGAAGGAAGTATCTCCATATTAGTTTGGGAGGGATGGGTATTAGGGATGTGATCTGGAAGCCAAGGGTGTGGTAGCTAGAAAATGCTTGAAAACCACTAGTCTAGAATATCACACACACACATACACATACACATGCGCACGCACATTACAAACTCAATCTTTCTGAAAATGGAAAGAATAATGAGAAAGTTATTGAAGTCTTCAGGAGTGCCCCTGACATTTTCTCTTCTGCAAAACGCCATTCCTACACCGGCGTGAATCATAGAATTTAAGACAAGAACAGCAATAATAATGATGCCGATGATGATCTTAATCATAAGTTATAAAGAAAAATAAATAAAGAAAAATAAAGAAAGAAAAAATATCAGAATCATTAAGGAGTGTCTGCTGAAATGGACTGTGTATTTAAAAAGAGAGTTTTGAAAAAGCACACTTGCCGTTCGGGTGACGTAATATTACAAATGATATGCGTCGCCCGGGAGTTTCCGCTTAGTGGGCGACAACAGTGACGCTATCTTTAAACTGTTCACAACTTTGGCCATGAAAAGAAAGCGTGACTCGTCAGGCTCGTATGACGTAATCCTATGCATGAGAGGGTCAGGGTGGAAAGGGGCAAAAAAAGGGATAGGCGGAGGGGACTGTGAAATATGAACGACATGGGAACCGCGCGAATTAGTGAAGGTGAGGGAGTGCGCCATCAGAATTGTCTCAATTGACCGAACGAGGAAGAATGAAAAAAAGCAATAAAAAAGGGGAAAAGAGAGGGGGGAGTCTATGATAGATATCTTATTGCAAGATTCTGCCAAAAAGACAACAAAGAAACAAATAGGGTTAGATAAATAGCTGAAAACAAATTTGCAGGCTGTCACGGAGGTCTTTTCAGTACTAATAGCAGAGGAAAGATTTAGATTTGTAGGAGCCGTACATAACAACACAGTGGACGCGGATATCACACGGTAATGGTAATATTAACTGTTTCCTTATAAGGAAACATCCGGCTTTCAATTACCGAGTAGGTAGTATTACTGTCGGTTTAAATTTATACAAATCTTTCTCTTAAAACATTTTTTTTCAGAAAATTAAGTTTCTCAAGTCCAGTAGCTGTTACAGCCTTTTCCACTATTGACAGGTGTTTCCTTTTATTTCAAATAGTATAGAATGTCAACATCTTCATTATGCCAATATTTTCTCTTTGGGTTAAATGTGATATCTATTTTAGTTGTTGCTGATGCTGGAGTTCCTCAAGTGATGGGGTTTCTGTTATTCTGTAGTGGCATTCATAAGGTTCGAAGAAGGGTGGTCTTCGCCATGGTCCAGTCGCTCAAAGCCATTTTTTTCTGATCAAGTTGTTTACAGTTGACGGTTTAGATATTTCTGAACCAGTTTGGCGCCATGCTTGACATCCAAATGAAAGTTTCGATTTGACGACGCTATTTAAGGACTCGAGTTTTCAGGTTAACGTTTTGGTTTTGTGATAATCTACGGCGTTAGCCGAAACTAACTCTAGCGCGGCGTAGTCTATGTTTAATTTTCTAATCTCCTATTCTGTTTTGGAAAAGTAAATCTATGATTGTTATAAACAGTCACTTCGATAGTATATGGAGTCTAAAAAATCATCCCTCACAGTATTTGTCTGTCTATCTGTCTGTCTGTTTCTTTCTCTCTCTCTCTCTCTCTCTCTCTCTCTCTCTCTCTCTATGTATATATATATATATATATATATATATATATATATATATATATATATATAAAGAAATATAGTCTTAAGGTGTGCTATATTTATGGGATAAAGTGCACAATATCAGAGATAGAGCGTGTGTAAATATAAAAGTGAACATAGAAGTCAACACTTAGAGGCGACAGTCTGTTTTCATGCTATATGCAATCGTCAGGCCACATATGCTGTTATTTTCTCGGCTATTTATATATATACGGGTTAGTGGTGCATTGTGGGTATTCTATTATGGCGGTTATTTTTTACCGGAAGTCGCTTTATTTATTTATTTGGGTCAAATTATATTGCTCGTTATAAAACAAACAAATACACTAAAAAAAAAAAATAAAAATAAAAATAAAAATAAAAAAATAAAATAAAATAAATAAATACTATATTGCTTAAAAACCGAAAACCGAAAAGAAAAAATATACAAATAAATTGACCTAAATTCAAACCAATCCCAAATTAAAAACTGATCCCGCCAAAAAAATAATAGTTAGAATGAACTACAACAACCAACCCCCAAATTGAACAAATAGCTTTAATCAAATTCTCAAACCAAAACAAAACTGTTAAATACGTGATATAAACAAATTTTTACTACGTTAATAAATAAATAAAATAAGAAACAAAAAAATAAAAACGAGCAATATAATTTGACCCAAATAAATAAACAAAGCGACTTCCGCAAAAAAAATAACCGCCATAATAGAATACCCACAATGCACCACTAACCGTATATATATATAAATAGCCGAGAAAAAATAACAGCATATGTGGCCTGACGATTGCATATAGCATGAAACAGACTGTCGCCTCTAAGTGTTGACTTCTATGTTCACTTTTATATTTATATATATATATATATATATTTGGTTGGATACAAACTCACATCTATCCAACCAAATATGTTAGCTCTATCTCTGATATTGAGCGCTTTCTAATAAGTACCGCGCATATAATATATAAATAATTATACATATATATATATTTATTCATATTTATATACACTTTTCACACACACACACACACACACACACACACACACACACACACACACACACACACACACATATATATATATCGCAAAATAGATACAAAATTCAAATCCTTTGGTTCCTTCTCTGCATGAATAGAATCTACTATCTTTATCAATATAAGATACAAATTATATTAGTATACCAAATCTATGAAATAGTTTATTGAACCAATTTACTTATAAGCGCTTATAAGTTGCACGTCACCCATAAAAAGGTTTTTGTGTCCACGGACCCCCTATCTTGTCTTTGCGGACATCTTGTGGTCCGTGGACCACAGTTTGAAAACCCCTGTTCTATACGACTCTACATCTGGTAAGCAAAGTCTAAATTACTGTTTATAAACAACAAATCTTCAACGATTACTTAATACAGTTTATTTAAAAACAGACTACTTAAATAAATTGCATGCATTAAAATATCGTATAAACAGAATATATATTAAATAATTGTCGATCTTAATCAATTTCATAATAGGTTGTTAATGTTTACGTTAAAGTACGTTTCGTGAGCAGATATGATCATTCGGGAAAGATCACCGAAGATTTTAAAAACGGCACAGTACATAAGTTTTGCGTTTTTCACTTCACAGATAAAAAATTTAATTTTCAGATAAACCCTGAAGATGACATTTTGGTAATGTCGAAAGTACTCGCAATAAATGAATTTGCATCAATATGGTAACTTTCTATCTTCCTTTTTTATAAGGACTAGCAGTAGAGCTCGGCGTTGCCCGGGGATGTAACAGTAAGAGATAGATCAAGTATCGACCATCATAAAAACTGAAAAATAAAATTGATAAAGATTATTGTTTAAGATTGACGGACACGCATGTCTTAATTATTATTATTATTTTTTTTTTTTTTTTACGAATTGGTCAAACCCAAACTTAAACAAAAACATTGTTTTCAATCGTTATGAGACTACCGATTTGAATAGAATTTTATTATAAACAATTGTCTTGTAAATGAAATTTTTAAAGCATTCTGAATGTAAAAATAAAGAAAAATGTGTGCAAGACAATAAAAACACTACCTGCCAAAAAAGAGTGAAGTTTAGTTGAAATCGGTTGAAAAATGTAGGAAATCCGATCCCATATATAAACGAACACACACACACACACACACACACACACACACACACACACACACACACACACACAAACAACCTGGGGTTTATAAGTATAACTCGATATGAGTTGTCCCCCTTTCATTCTCGCGATGACTCTTAATCGTGTTTTCAAATTGATTTCGTGCAAAAACAATTGTGTTTTTCCAATTTTTGGCGCTGTCAGAACCACCTCAAGGTAATTTTACGTAGTCCTGTGAAGTTTTGTTAAAATCGGTTGAAAAATGTAGGAAATCCGATCCAATATAACGTACAGAAACACACACACACACACACACACACACACACACACACACACACACACAACCTGGGTTTTATAATAAGTATGATACTAAGAAGCTTGTCTGTGCATATGTGAGACGCTCATATTAAAAATAAGTTGTCAAAATTTGTCTAAATTATTTAACGAGACATGTCTTAATATATATATATATATATATATATATATATATATAAAGGCTTAAACAGTAATATTCCATGGTCATAATTTATTCCATTGGAATCGTAAATACGATCCAATTCATCAGACCTACAAATTCAAAAAGAGAACAGAAAAAACAACTCCGGAAATAAAAAATTAAATTTAGAGAGAGTGTAAGTATGAGAGTGTGGGACGAATGTTAGAACTATAGAGAGGGGTAACAGACGAGAGAAGGTGGGAGATTAAAATTTAACAGAGAGAAGATTTAAAGAGGGGGAGTCAAAGACGGTTTAAGTGAGAGAAATATGAATGTTGTCGAATGTCTAATACATTAAAGATGTAACCGGAAAGGATACATTTCGTGGTGACATACACACACAATAGACGATCTAATCTTAAAGATCAGAAGAAGAGGAAGGGAGAGGAAAAGAAAAGAAAAAGGGGTCGGGGAGAGAGATGGGTCGGGGAAAACTAAAACTGAAGGGCATTTACTGAAAGGGCCGCTGAGTAATTAAGAAAATTTGACAAAATTAATATCGACTACAGGTTACAAATCAAATATAAACATATAAAAAATAAATATAACGGTTATCTAATCTAGCAAGGACCTATATTTCTATGTTCAAAAACACATGCGTATACACACATACACAATAGCATATACACGTACATATATACATATAGGCGTGTACACACATACACACACACATATATATATATTCATATACATATACATATATATACATATATATATACACATACTTATATGTATACATATACATACATAAATATATTATCTATCTATCTATCTATCTATATATATATATATATATATATATATATATATATAATAGGCAAAGACAAAGTCCGACAATTATTTTCTTCAAACGTTATTACAATGGACACTTATTTGAAATAGACGTCACGTTTTTATTTATTAAACATTACGTCAATTGGCCTGCTCATTCGAGAAAAATGAAAAGAAAATGCGTTCTTAGTAAAGAAAATATCTTCTTTATTAAAACTTACCGAATGTGCAGGCTGATAGATGCCATACATAATGTTTAATAAATAAAAAATATGGCGTTAATTTCAAATATGTGTCCACTTTAATAACGTTTGAAGCAATAAAAAATATCGAATTAAAAATAA